CACTTGTCCTTGGTTTCCAGTGAGCGGCCACAGCATTACTGCCTCTGAATGAACCAGTCAGCGAACAACACTGATGGTCGGATTGCAATGCGGTGTTCTCCTGGGAAACCTCGGCTCCTGGCATTCATCTGGATGCTACTGGGACACGCACCACCCACCTAAACATGGTTGGTGAATGAGCACACCCTGCCATGGCAACAGCACTCCCCATGTGCCAGCGTCTGGCCAGGACAATGCCCCCTGCCTCACTACAAACACTGCTCAGGAATGGCTCGAGGAACACGACCAAGAGCCCGAGGAGCTGACCCAGTCTCTAAACTCCACAGATCTCAGTCCAATCAGGCGTCCGTAGGATCAGCTGCAACAAGCCCAATCCCTGGACCCAAAGGACCTGCCGTAAGTGTTACGGTGCCAGACGCCACCGCCAGAGGTCCCGACAGGTCACAAGGGGGACTGATAAAATATGAAGGTGGTGTTTCTTTTTAAAGATTATTTTTCTGGCATTTTTGCCTTTATTGGATGGGACAGTGTGAGAGTGAGACAGGAAAGGGGGGCGAGAAGAAGGGGGAGGACCTGCAGCAAACTGTCATGAGTGGGAGTTGAACCCACGACCGCTGCATCAGGGAACTTCAGCCCCTATGGCTCAACCAGGTGAGCATTAGAACCGCCACCTTAGGGCGCCCCTATAGCTCAACCAGGTGAGCTATAGGGGCGCCCTAAGGTGGCGGTTCTAATGCTGTGGCTGATGGTGTAACTCCATCATCACCAGGTCAGCGCAGCTTTATGGCCACATCCTGCAGACATTTACAAACTGATCACATCACTTCAGCCTCATCTTCACTTGGTATTTACAGCTAATTAGCTAGCTGTAGCATGGTAACGTGCTAAAACAGAGAACATCGTAAACATTGCTGTCTGGCAGAGAAAATAGAATAGAAGAATACAAAAATGCTTTATTTATAGGGTTAGGGTTAGAGGCATCCTCAGCTCTCTGCTCGGTAAAATGCTTTGTTTTTGCACTGTTTTTCCATTTTGCACATTTTGTACAGTTGTTTTATTTTTTAATAGTATTTAACTTTACCTTTTTCCTGTTGTGACTGCTGTTTTCTTTGTTGCTGCTGTGTTGCAATAATTTCCCAGAACTGGGATAAATGAAGTATTTTCTATTCTATTCTATTCTATTCTGTTCTATTGGATCGTCTAGCATCACATTCATCTACATGCTGGTGTTCTACATGAACAAACGTGTTTTTACACAGATTCTAATGGAGCTGTCTGAGCTTCTCTCTGGTTGTAAGAACCACCAGGTCGATGTTTCTACGACACACAATACTGGTCTCAGAAATGCCACAACAGAGAGACGACATATTTCTAAACGAGTCTGTAAATATGCCTGAATTATAAAGTGCATCTGTCATCATTATGGCTGTCACCGTCTTCATCGCCGTTCGTCTTTCCCACATGAGCGGCGATGTGCTGCGCTCTCAGAGCTCTGCCTTTGTCCCCAATGTGTGAGCAGCGACGGTGACAGGAGGCCAGCTGTCTGCCTGTGTGCTGCCTGTACTCTGCTCTCTATTACTACCACCTCCTTCTGTAATTACAAGCTCCAGTGCACACAGGCTCGCCATCAGGTGGGGCCAGGGCCACAAGCGCAGCACCACCAGCTCTCGTCACTGGGGCATTTTGAATTCCCCCCGTGTGAGAGCTGCAGGCCAACGGGAGGCTTTGTGCACATCAGAGGTGCCACAGCCTGCAGGCCAATCAGCCAGTTGGGATTAGAAATGCTAAATTTTGTTTCATATCATTAGAAGGTTAGCTCACCCCTCATTGGTTCACCATCTGGGCATTCTTTGCTTCTCTCTCAGCTCTGTATCAGCACTGCACAGCCTCCAGCATGGCGGAGGGAGACCAGAAGAGCCAGAGATGGGCTGAGAGATTTGGGCAGATGAGCAGAGGGGCGGAGGCAAAGGAAGCAGGCAATGGGAGAAATGCAGGGAAGTGGTGAGGAAAAACAGAAAAGACAAGAAAAAGATGGCGCGGATGAAAAGGAGTGAGACGGAAACACCAACGTGCCCCCTGGATGTGCTGTAGAAGCTGCTCTGGTGTAAAAACATCAGGAGTCATGTGACAGGATTCAGACTAGAACAACACCAAACTACAGTTAGCGTCACCATCACAGCGCCCATCCCTCCCAAAGGCACAGTCTGGTTTTAAATTTACATTTGCTTTAAGTCTTACTCAAACTTTCTCTGTTAACCATGAGAGGCTAATCTCCCAGTGAGACCCTCTTATTGATCTCGATGTGGGAGTTAAAGTCTGCATTCAGACTGCTCATTTGGGATGTTCCACAAGGGTATTTCATTTTGGAAGACAGCGGCCTAAGAAGATTATAAGCACAGTTCTCCATTTATCTCACACACCCTGACTCCCTTCATTGGCTGGGACTTTCTTATCATGTTTTGCCAGCAGCTACAGCAGCCAGTGGCATCTCCGCCTGCATCCGCTCTGGACTGCATTTGATGCAACACTTTTACCCAAAGCTCGGCCTTTTGTTGTCACAGCTTGTTTCCAATGAATCACACTATATTTGGTTGGATGGAAAAAAATCCTGAATAGGTTGAACTCAAGAGTGGAGATCTGTTGTTGAATGCAGCTTGATGGAACATAGTGAACTTCAGAGATGATTGTGTGAAAATGTTCGATCATAAGTCTGAACAATGCATCTGCTGGACCCGGAGTGGGTCCGAGAGAGAGAGAGAAAGA